GTGTTTGCAGGATCTGGCTCTTATCCTGGAAAGCAAATGAGTGCTTGGTATTTACAAGTTTGAAATAAACAAAACCAAACCACAAAGGGAATCTTGGAAATGGGGGTGGGTGGGTGTGTGATAGTGTAACATTTAGGAAACAAGGAACCAAAAAGATCTCTAGACAATCTTCAGTTTCTGGAAAAAACATACGTCAAATTGTGCCTTGCTCAAATCCTCTTGCTTAACAGAAAACAGCAAGAAAAAAGAAAAAAAGACTCCAAATCACAGCATGCAACATCTCTGAGAGTCAGCAGAGAAATCTAAACAGTTGCAGGCCAATCAGATCAAATATTAGTATTGCAGAAGTACTTTGCAGTCTCAACCAGGTCCCTATTGTACTGTACAAATATATAGTAAATGACAGTCTCTGCCCCAAATAGCTTCTAGTCTGAAAGACAAGACACAACAGGTTGATAAAGGAAACAAGTGGTCAGGGGACATACGGGGTGACAAACAGAATACGAGTCTTAAAACAGACGAGCTATGTGCAGTTCTTGGCCAACCATCAAGCAGTGATCACAACTTACTACCTGCCTAGGTTAATTGTTCCTGTCAATATCCCATTTAGTACCTTATCGTGAAAAGTGGATCCTCCCGGATTTTGCTTGCCATGTCTAGGACAGAATTGGCACCTGTAGGGGCAAAAATGGAGCCTGGGAGAAGTCCTGTTTCAGTGGAACAACCTGCCTCTTTGTCTTCCATCTTCTCAAAGACATATTTATCCACAGGGCGGCCCATCAGATACTCTTCTCTGTTCACCATACCCCCGGGACCCTGGTACATCCAGTCCAACTTCTCTTCTTTTTTCCTGTTTCAAGCAAAAACTCCATGTTACTTTGTTTTCCTTCCAAGCAGCTCGAAAGTTTCACTTTTCTCTGCAAAGACGAGCAGAAATGCTTTAGAGTAAGCCAACCTTAAACCCCTATCTTTGGCGCTGATCCTGCAAAAACCTACGCAGGTGCTGAACTTTACACGCAGCGAATAATCCCACTGATGTCAACAGGACCATTCACAGGGTGGAAAGTTAAATGCCTATGGTAAATGTTTTACAGGATTAGGGCCTTAGAAATTAGATGGAAGGGACCTATTAGGACTAAGTCTTATCTATCTCTCTGTCACAGCAGGATTATTCTCTACACTCCAGCCCTTGTCCATTCTTAAATGACAATTGGAGATAATTCCACAGGGTAATTGATCTCATTGCTAGGAAATTTCTCCCAGTATGGAATTATCTCCCAGCTCTAAAATACATGGAGAGCTCTATTCTAATCAACCAGAAGTAGTAATTGTTGGCCCATTATAACAAGCATCTGCATTTTCTTATGGCACCTACAGTTTATAATGTGACAGCTAGGAAAGTTAGTTATTTGGTAGCTGCGACCCAAGTCCTAAAAGAAATGTGTTACTAGAACGTCCCCATTCAGAAATTCCTCCTGGTGACATAAAGTACTTCAAGTACAAATGATGCACACAGGATTTTCAAGGGACAAAACCACACACACACACACAGACCCTAACTCTTACTTGACTGCTCCCACATCCTCCGCATAGCGCTGCATCTCCTCCCGGGCTCGCTCCTCCCGCAGCTCCCGCTGCAGCTCCTCAATCTTCTTCCGCTCGGCTTCATGTTTCTGCTCTGCCTTCCACACCTTCTCCACATTGCGCAGAGTCTGGGGATGCCAGCTCTTCTTCAGATTCTACAGAGAAGAGGAACCAGTACAAGCAGTTTTTAGAAAGCTAATATCCCAGACCCACCAAGTCTCTCTGCAAAACGAGAACACAAGCTTCTCACAAGGGGCACCAGGAGGATGAATCAAAGGGGCACAGAAGTCATATTTTAACAAATATTTCCTCATCTACTTTCTGAATGCTTTTGATTATTAATATTGAAGGCAGGTTAGCGAGCAAAGTTAAGGACTGCTCCTGCATTCCACACACACTCTCAACTCCCCCTGACTTCAGTGGGAGCTGTAATCGTGCAAGGAAAGCGGGCTTAGGTCTTTACCTTGGGGGGGAATCAATCAGATTGGCCAATAAAAACAGACAAAACAGTTTCACTTTCACCTAAACCAGTGCTTGAAGTGCCTGAGCAGCAAACAAGACAGATTTTAAATCAGCTGAAAAAAATCCCAAAGGTTTAAACATCAAAGTGCGGGTTTAACTTTGCATTCTACCTTTGGGGTTTTGTAAAACTGCTGTGTTCTTCCGGGGTCCCTTTTCTCCAAGGCACTGGTATTTGTTTACCACCTCAATTTAACAAAGGGAGGGTTGGTTTGTGTTTTAGGCAGAGGGTTAGGGAATTAAATTAAATTAAATTGAGATATCCCATCTCCTAGAACTGGAAGGGACCTTGAAAGGTCATCGAGTCCAGCCCCCTGCCTTCACTAGCAGGACCAAGTACTGATTTTGCCCCCCGATCCCTAAGTGGCCCCCTCAAGGATTGAGCTCACAACCCTGGGTTTAGCAGGCCAATGCTCAAACCGAATCATTATTCATTATCTGAAGGTGTGGTAGCACCTCAGGGTCCCAGCGGTGGACCAGGGCCTGACACACACAGAGCAAAACGACAGTCCCTGCCCCAAAGAGATTACACTCGAAGAGATTGCAACGTGTCGCAAGCCCTTTCCTCTCACTTTCGCCCCACACCACCAAAGTTGGGCCCTGATCCTGCACACACGTATGCGTGTGTTTACGGTTCAATTCAAGCCCCCAGCTCCGGGGCAACTCGCTGGGTTCAAGTTAGGCCCCGGCGCGAACACTGGGCGAGATGGGGGGGTGGGTGCTGGGCTCTCGCTGAACAGTCGCTTTCGGGCCTGGATAGCAAAGCGATGAGAAGAGACCACTGCCAGGCAGCGGAGCATCCCCGAGTCACCCGGGGACTCTCCCCATGCACGGCTTTAGTCATTACCAACAAAGTGGGGGGGGGATGCACCATAATGGCGACAGGTTTTCAAAATACAACCCCCCCATGTCAAACAACGCCCCTCTCCCCAGGGCTGGAGACCCCCCCAATTCAACCCTCCACCCCCCAATCCGCCCAGGCAAAGTCTAGGGGGATCCGGCTCCAAAACCCCGGGGGGCTCCCAGGGGCCAAGCCCCAGATCCCCCGCCCCAGGGGCCCCGCTCTCCCCCTCGGCCCCCGGCCCCTCACCAGGTCTCCTCCCCCCATGGCGGCGGAGACTCGAGCTCGCCCCGCTCCCGCTACCGGGCCCGGCCGCGCGTCAGCTCCCGGCGCCGAGTCCTTCCCCGCGGGGCCCCGGCTGATGGCGCCACTTCCTGCGCCCCGCCCCGGCC